AAAAAGCGTAACTTCTTTTTCTTTTAAAATATCAGCATTGGACAGAGCATAAAAAGTTGTTCATTTCATATTCTCATTGCTTCCAGCTTTCATTCAGTTACAATGACCAAAATACGAAAAGAAATGTGAATTTTTGTCGATTTCGGGATCTTCTCTCGCATTTTTCAACCACCTAGCCTAAAATATGCTTTTCGATTTTTTTCGATCTTAAAATTTGGTTTAACGGACAAAATTAACCGTATTCCGAAGTTCTGAAATCGATCTGATGTTTATAGATACAGATGATATTCGCTCATCAGACAGATCAAGTTGCGTCAAAGTTTTTGTTCACTTTCAATGCTTCAGCCAGTGTTTCGCCTCCTCAAGCAGATATTTGGTTAGCTCTAAGATTAAGTTGCGTTAGAATGTGATTTCCTTTCAATTCGTTTGCGAGTATGATAGGGACTCGTTCGAATGTGTTCGCCTGTTTCATGATATCGTAGATGCTACATTTCGTATGAAGAAAAACATGAAAAATAATTCAGAAGAGAAGGACGCTGAATAAGTGTAAAAAATCGTTCTAGATTTTCAATTTCTTTAAAAATATATTCCACTTTTGATTCTCAATTTGTCCGCATACGAATTCGCCGGTGATTTTCAAGTTTAAAAAACGTCGTTGATTTAATGCAAAATTGATTTATTTTCTCCAGTATCGCTTTTGATTTTTTGCAAAATCAGCGACGATTTTCTAAAAAAGTTGAACCGATTTTCTAGAAAATCAAGACACGTTTTTTGAATGGACTGATTTTATTCAATGTTGAATTGTTCAAAAAAAATTCAGCTAAACTCTCTTTTGACGACTGAAGCTGCTTTAGTTGTTTTATTTTCTACCTCAAAAGCGATTTTATTCTCCGATGCGACGGTTGATTGTGACAAAGCATGCGATCGTGAGGTAATTGTCAAACTGTCTGTGCTAAACATATCTGTTGTTGGACACTGAATTTCTTTGTCGTAAGAAAATTGATCAACGGCGTCGTGACTTGTCGATGGGTGATCAAAATCGTTGTTAATTTGTTCAAGTGAAGTTTTTGATTTGCCAAACGTATATCTACGCCGTTTTCGTGAGGTTATTTTTAAAACTGGTAAAATTTGACTTAATAGAATGGACTTATTAGATAACAACGACAAAATATGTGGTTAGAATGCAAGTTAGTGACACACATAGAATGGCGATTCCAATCAATAAAGAATAAGTCAGAAGTTTTTTCTATTTTTCATAATCCCAGTGTTGATAGTAGAATCTGAATAGAGACCTGTACGGATTAAGAAAACGTAACCCGCACTCGACCCGATAAATTTTTACTTTTGTTTTGTTCTTAAGTTTATGTCTTTTTATTTACCTATTTGTTTAGCGAAGGGCAGCGCATTACGGGCGACTGACCTTTTGCTAATAGTCTGCTAATATTCCAGAAAATTTAAGCATTATATCTTTCTAAATTCACAATATCACCTCTAATAAAAGAAGAAATGTTATCAATGAAAATTGTACGATTTGGAAAAACCTTGTTTTCCTTCTAGAAGAATAGTTCAATAACAAGCGAATGTAGGAAGATATAACGCTCAAATTTTCTGTGATATTAGCAGACTATTCGCGAAAGTACAAAAGAAAAATATCACTTCTTAATTCTTTGTTTTGACTGGGTTATAGAATTATTACTCTTACTACACACACCGTTCCTAAAGAACAAAAAAATTCATAACTTTTGAAAGAACTGATATGGATCCTCCTTTAAGGGTTTTTATCAGCTCCCTTTCCTCTATTAACTGGGATAATATCATTAAATACGGAGTTGGACATCTGAAGACCTTGCCTCGTTAGTGAATGCAGTTGTTCTGAAATAAGTATTTCAACTGAAAATTCCAGTAGAGTTAACTTTTCAACGAGTAATGCAAAATTGAAATTATTATCTATATTATAAATTGCGTGCCAAATGTTCAACCCGGACTCGACCGGTTGGGTCGGGTTCTGATGCAGGTCTCTAAATCCGAATATGAAATAAAAAGTATATGTAAATTTTTCACTCGTGACTTGATTTCTTGATGGGCTAGCGAATCGTCTCTTAAGCTTGTAATAAACTATAAAACGAAGTTTATCGTTCCTAGCCTTTATACTGTACAAAGATCAAAGTTGTGAATCGACCTGATGTTTTCCAAATTAATTTCAGCGATATTAATGTATCTTTTTTGGTTTCAGCTTTATTTTTGTGCTCTACTCAAGGGTTAACTTTATGCGCTTCCAGTTGTTGTTAAAATGTATATCATTTCGTTAGAGACCGATCATTTGGATATATTTAGGTAATGCTCAGTATTTTCGTAAAAATATGTATTACATGTCCAATGTTTCAATCAACAGAGCCTTGCTCACATCTGATGAGATACTATGACTATTCGTTCTTCTTTTCTTTCGTCTTTTTTTATACAGATTATTAAATGTTAACTTTGTATGATGAACGATTATTGTTGTCTCATCAAAAAGTATTATCTCTCTCTTTCTCTAAATCTCTTCGCCGGTCGATTGTTGTATAACAGGACAGACGAAACCTTTATCATTATTTTCTTAGTTGTGCAAGAACGAAGCAATAGAGAGGTAAGTTGACTGCTCCGTTGTTCAGTTACAAATTGTAAAAAAGTTTTATAATCCAAGTATGAGAATGGCGGTTGATCACCGTCAAGTTCTAGTATTTTTGCTCAATATTAAGTTAAAAGAATCTATGACTAATGCGCAACATTCACTAAAACGATGAGTAAATTTCGATTCCTTTGTTTAACTTACATCTTACCTTTCTACCAATAAAATTACCTTTTTCAGTTCGCGGTAAAAAAGTTGAAAAATCTCTTTCTTTAGCAGGAAGTTCTTGCTCCGAAAGGGGCTTCAAAAATGTATACTACCTCGGACGGAACATCTTAGAACACGAACTGAAAAAGGTAATTTTATCGGTAGAAAGGTAAGATGTACGTTAAACAAAGGAATTGAAATTTACTTTTGGGGTATGGAGGGGTATGGAGGTTAATTTTGTCGGTTAAACCAGATTATAAGATCGAAAAAATCGAAAAGCATATTTTAGGCTAGGTGGTTGAAAAACGCGAGAGAAGACCCCAAAATTCTAGACTTTCCGAGTTTTGGACTTTTGACGCTGACCATTAATTTGAAAAGTAAAATATCAAAAATCTGACTCTACAAGTCTCTAGCCACATGTGTTTTCGTCAATTTAAGATCAGTCCAAGCGCTCCACAACGTTTTGTTACTGAGAAATCCTGGAGCCCCATTCTGGTCACTGTTGTGGCGACATCTCACAAATCATGCATGGTGGAGCCAAACAGAAAAATATACTTTCACAAGATCAACATCTTCTAAAAGTTTGGTCAAGATCGGACTTATAGTTGCAAAGATAGGTTTCTGACGAGGAGGGGAGCTTAAGTGTGTGATCCCGATCACGACTTTAAATCAAACCGTGAAAGAAACACTAATCAGATTTTTGTTCGAGGTATTTGTTTACGGTTAGTTACATCAACAGCTTTTTTAGGTCCATTTTTTGAAAATACTTTTCCTTTCAGAATCACTCGTTGAAATTGAAACTTGAATGCGGCTGACCAGAGTAGATGTTCTAAAAGCTTAGAATAATAGCAGAGTCGAATTATATTCTTTGTGAGAGAAGAAATACTTCCATAACACTGGTTGGTAAAATTTTACATATATAATTCTTATTCAGCTTACAAATAGAATCATATCTGTACTTTTTATATATAAGAAGGGTATTTCACTAATTTTTACCAATGTCCATCCAAATATACCGTGATCTCAGTAATTTTGATTCATTGAAAGTTTTCATACAATTCTATTTAAAGTTTCCACTTTAGAATCTGATCGTTTTGTCGTGTGATTTAATCAGAAAAATTTGATTTTTAATAAATCGAAAAACTTTCCTCAACATGATACTTGTTGTTCTAAGAATAGAAAATCGTTAGTCTATTACTCTCTTGCGAATGAGATGTTTCTGGAAGAAAAACTAAAAAAGTGGACACATTAGAAGACCCTCTCGATCCCATCACCTAAAAGTTGTAATGTAAAAACAACATAAGTTTCTTTTCGACACGCAATATAAGACCTCATTAAAAGCTTTAAAACTCAGGATGGATTAGAAGATGCGGATCTTTTATTTCGGAAGAAGAATACCTCGCCTTGCGACTACCGGTGTAGAGTGGCAATTTTCAATAGTCGGATATCTTCCCTGCAGTTGACAAGTTTTTGACATGGTCATCCATCTCGTTACTAGTTATCAACCACCGCTCAACACAGAAGACTAGCCTGACGCAGAGTTCTTTCGCCCAATTACTTGAGATCCCCATATACACTCATTAACCGCATACTAGCCATAGAACTATATTGTACGTGATAACGTAGTGAGTATGCTGTCGGACGGTTGATCCGAGACACTAAGACAAACTTGTCTAAGGTTATTTAACGGCGCCGAGATTCGAACATATTACCTTTGAAGCACGTAACAAACAACATAACCACTAAACCATGCTGTCACTTTTATTGTGACTACCGCTTTATACTGAAAAATGGTGATATAAAACTAACTCTAAAAACGTTAATTACACTCTAGTTACCTAAAAAAGATTCGATATTTCAGGAGCGTCAAGGTTATAAACCCTAGGCAAATTCCTATTCTTATTTTTTTACGCGAAATCGAATAGTTGTCGTCAAGAAAAACATTTTTTTCGACATTTTATGATTTATAACGTAATTCTGATTTTTGTCGTAAATTGTCTGCCTCTTGATTCAAAAGATGGCTTGTGAAACATCTAAAAACCAGAGAAAATCCGACTATATTCGAGAAGATAAGAGTCGGCCTCCATATTAGCGATATGTACGATAGACGTTACACTCACGGTTTATATATATAAAATTCTAGAGCTGAGTTCTTTGTGTCTGCTTTTACTTTAGAATGTAAGGAATGTTTCTTTCAACGTTATCAACGATCACAACTATATTACCAGTTTCGTTATTGATTGGAATCGCCATTCTATGTGTGTCACTAACCGCATTCTGCATTCTAATCACATATTTTGTCGTTGTTATACATAGGAGGTAGATAATTCACGCTGTTAGTATAATAGTAACAATTTTTTTTATTTAGCTATCCAATTAGTTCTGATAAGTCCATTCTATTAAGTCAAATTTTACCAGTTTTAAAAAAGACCTCACGAAAACGGCGTAGATATACGTTTGGCAAATCAAAAACTTCACTTGAACAAATTAACAACGGTTTTGATCACCCATCGACAAGTCACGACGCCGTTGATCAATTTTCTTACGACAAAGAAATTCAGTGTCCAACAACAGATATGTTTAGCACAGACAGTTTGACAATTACCTCACGATCGCATGCTTTGTCACAATCAACCGTCGCATCGGAGAATAAAATCGCTTTTGAGGTAGAAAATAAAACAACATTAATGCAGCTTCAGTCGTCAAAAGAGAATTTAGCTGAATTTTTTTTGAACAATTCAACATTGAATAAAATCAGTCCATCAAAAATGCCTATGTTACCGTGCATTAAACTTCGTATGCCCAATGATACTTTGGAGTTATCGAGAATAACTATCACGAAGGCTCCTCAATCATTACACGATACTTCAAAGCGTTCGATAATAAAAGATATTGCAAGAATGGAAGTGGATGAAAATAGTATCACAGTCACAACATCAGCAGCACCATCACAAAACGATGCTCAAACGAGACAAATACAAAAACATAGAACACTACCGTTCTCAATTAATTCATGTGACTCTCAATTCTCGAAAGATTCATTAGCCGACTAACTACGATACTTGGTTAAGATAATAATATTGTCTTTTTCTTTTGAGAGTTGTAAACAATAATTGTATTATGAGAAATTGTTTTTTAAATTTTCGCTCCATAGTGATTAGTGCAAATTTCCTTTACACTAGAATTTTTGTGTTGCTCATTTGTACGCGTTTTGATTCAGGTACGGTGATACAGTAAAAGAAAACTTTAATATTCTTCTTCGAATATAACAAAGAAAAAGTCATGATTATTGTCTCAAAGTCAAGTAAATTTTAAACATTAGAATTTTATCTACTTGGATTAGTACGTAATTTTTTTCAAGGACATACATCATTCTTATGTAAACACAATTAGTTAACAGTTTGTTTTTTTTGACTCAAACGATATCAAAGATATATTTATCCCGAAATTAAATTGCTTTTTGTGATCTTCATTCTGCACATTTCACAAAGTTTAAAATGAAATTAATCTTTCACAGAAGACTTCAATGACGTTCATCTATCGTAAGTTTTATCGTATGTCATCTTCCACTGTTTCATCGTAACTTGCTAGTTGCTCTAATTGGGTATTATAGATTAAAAAGCAATTTGAATGATGTTTAAGATCTGAGTATATCTATCTATAATGGAGAAAAGCATGCGTGCGTCATCTACATGTCTGTCTACTTGATTTACATTATCAAAAACTTTATATTTTCTTGTCATTGACTATTCTGAGTACGTCTGTCGTGAAATATTTTATTTTGATAAGAATTTTTTGAAGTAAACTGCACCTTTTGACATCTTATCAATTACGTGTATCCTTTGCAGGTTAAATCTAACCTAACCTACAGGTTAGATTAGGTTGTAAATTGCGTTTTAACCTTTTTCGATTACTTTGTACTTTTGCACAAGCGAAATTTTTTTCTGATTTTGAGTCATCCACATCCTAATTCTTTGAAAGGCAAAAAATTCAATGACATGTATATTTACTTTTGTCAAATATGCGTGTAACATTCTGTGGGTTGAAAACAAAAAATCACAAGAGAGGTTAGGTTAGGACTATTGGTTAGTTATGCTGATTAAGAAAACGTATATCGAAATTGATCATACACTATTTTTCTATTCAATTTTAAATGCTGAAATAGAAAAAAATTGTTGAAAGACTTCAAAACAATCTAGAAGCAAAATATTAAAGGTTTTTTGAACGTGAAGGATTTTTCAAGTATTTTCGAGTTTTCAATATGAAAACAATATTTTGAAAAATTAAAAATCCATTTTCTGAATCAGCTCGATGAGCTCTATCCAATGATGTACAATAAATTAAGAAAAAAAGATTTTTCTTTAATTTTACATTGTGCCCAGGTAAGCAAAAAATTACTGAAGCCGGCGGTCATGACTAGTCTGAAACGTCCCTTTCGCTCGTCATGACTAGTCCAGTGTTTAATAAATGTCTCTTCTACCCGTCATGACCGGTCTCTTTTGTTCGTTATACTCGTCTCGACTAGTCCAAAGAAAAAGAAGATGATATGAATAATTTCAGCGTCTTAGCTCGACCCATTACACCGTCTGCATAAAAAAACTGACGCCCGGATCGGACGTCTGGTACATTGTTCTAGACAAACACAATTGTGCTCGTCAACAAGCACTTTCTGATTAGTCTTTTGAAAAAATATGTACGGTTCAACTATACATTGAAGTATATGTCGCATTTTGTGGAGCGCATAATTCTATATAAGATAGAGTAATTTACAATGTTACCAATGGCAGCTTCACGAAGAAACTTAGACACTAAATGTAGTCGGTAGCAAGAAATTGGAAAAATTGTCCTAATAATTTCAATTTTTTCCACCAGAAAGATATGAGTTTGGAACAGAAGCAAGGTGATATTCGGAAACCGCGTGAAAACCGAATTGAACGATGCATATTACAGGGGTTTTTAGCAAAGAACTTTTTCGAAAACTTTCCCATTGGCTCAACCATGGACTAAAACTTTAAAAAAAAGTTTTTTTGCTCAGAACTATTTATTCGGAGGTTCTGATAAGACTGCAACGAAGGCCTGAATTCTTAAAAAGCTTCAGCGAAATGTTCTTCATGTATACTAAAAACTAGCATGCATAAACTGATGGTGCAATGGCTCAGTTGGTTCAATCACACGTACATAAAATAAAGTGTCGCATGTTCGCTTCTAACCTATTTTTCTATTTTTCTTTCATTTAGACTAGTCCAGACGTGATCAGTGTATAGCTTGGCAGGCTAGTCAGCAACACTACTACGGAGGATTTTCTTTTAATTAACGGTTCAAATTTTAGACTAGTCATAACGGGGGCGTTTTTGTCGGAAAGACTAGTCGGGACGGTCATCTGGACTAGGAAAAAAGACTCAGTCATTTGACTCCTCTTTTGCTTACCTGGGTGGTTACTTTTAAGGTAAAACATACTTATTTTGTGAGTATGCCGATTCTAAAAACTATGTGACATATTAAGTTTGATGTATCATCTTCTTTAGTTTTCGTTGCTTATTCATCTAGCATATTAACAAAAAAGAGATTTATAGAGTCAGGACCACCGATGGCAGGTTCCCTAGTGATGGATCAGGTTCTGAATGAAAGGCATAGGAGATATACAAGTGATACTGCTGATTCTGACCTTAGTGATGCAGACTGCTTTAGGTCTTTCAAATTTTTTAAAGCTATCGAACATGTTCTGGAAACCTTCTAATTTGAAAGACACGTACGAATTAGAGTTGAGAGAAAAATCGAAAACACAGCAGAAAAAATTCACTGGAATCGAGGGAATGAGTAAAAATAAAGTAGAAGAGGTTCACAAAAGTCGATTTATATCCTAACAAGTCATTCTCATATTCGTTTGTTTTAGTTATTCCATTTTTGGCCAGAATTAATTGATTATCGTAATGTTTTCGTTATTCAACCATATAAATTGTTTACCACATCGTCAGAACAAGTATTTCTATGCCGAAATACCCTTTTTAGACTCTCTGAATAACAAATGCTGATACCCTCTTTTTTTTGGTTCTGTGGATTTAGAAATACACTTAACCGTATTTTACAATGCCATTTTGGTATTTCAGTGTACTCTTTTTGGTTTTGCAAGATTTCTTTGAGAGTATTCCTCATTCCACAGAACCAAAAAAAAAGAGTGTATCTGCATTTGTTACTCAGAGATTTAAAAAAAGTATCCCAGGATAGAAATACCCTTGCTTTGGTTCTGTATAGCATGAAATGTTTTTAGAGCATAGTCTCCGTTTGTGGGACAGAGAATTATTCATCGTTTATGTTAGTCATTTCTTCTTCTATCTTGTTATTGCGGTTATACAAATATATTTTATAGTGGTAAAATCGTTCAAGTGTGAATAAAACGTAGTAAGTGGTAGCCTTCTAATAATCATTTTATCCTGGGCGATTACCTTCGTTTTTTCATACGATTATTTGCTTCTAGGTTTAGCAACTACCGATTACTGTCGTCTGAAAGGTATGTATAATCTTTAATTTTAGTGAAAATAACTCAAAAAGTCTTCTCAAATTTGCAACTGAGATAAAGCATAATGAGATGTCATTTCAACACCGAGTTTTTTTCAAGGAGAATCAATAGGTAAATGTTTTCCCAATACTATAATGTGATAAAATAATTGAATACGCTGCTTACTCTTCAATCTTCCACATTTTTTTTATTATTATAGTTCAAGAGTTCTGCAAAGAATTAAGTTTTCTATTCTATGTGTTTTAGTGTGAAAACATGTCATCCATAAAATCCACATCTTCGTCGCATGTCAAGGCATCTGAAATGAATTCTCGAATGGAGCAAGATGCTGTTGAAGTTGCTCGAGAAGCTCTTAGTCGTGCATCAAGTGAACGTGAGGCTGCTGAACACATCAAACGTCATTTTGATCAAAAACATCGTCCAAATAACTGGAGTTGTATTGTGGGAAGAAATTTTGGTTCATACGTTAGTTATGCCCAAGATCATTTTATCAATTTCAGTGTGGGACCCACCGATGTTCTACTATTTCGAAATAGCTAAACATTCATTCTTGAGAAAAACATCACCTTCATCCATTTTATTAAATAGTTTAGTGTTCTAAACAATTATTATTATATCATCAATGTTTTGCGTTATAGTTGAAATAAATGGATGGAAATAAACTGATTTTTGACCGTATTTTAAGGCTGAATTATTTTGAAAACCCATAATTAATTAAAAGAGAGTTTTTCGGAAACTTGAGGAAGTAGTGTCATAAGTTCAAAGTCTAAGAAATTGAACAGATGAACCTTCCACGCATAGAGCGCTAAGTCTTTCATTTGAGAAATTTATAAGTATAAGAGTGAGGACCGTTTATCTTTGAAAAGTTTATTCTACAATATGTACCATATTTTAGATCGCACGTTGGATGAAACGATTCTCAAGTAGCCAAAAAAAGATTTTTGATGTTGAAATGAGGTAATACTCTTTATAGAGTACATTGAGTACTATATATCTAGAAGAAATCTGGGTAGTCCTAAAGAGTATTGGTGGAGTTATGTACTTTTTAAATTTCCAACTGTCATTAAAATTTTTGTTGAAGCACCTCATCGTCGACATTTTATAAGTCACTCATCAAGAATGGGAAAAACTTGATTCAGGTATATTCAGATACACAATTGTTAGTAGTTTTATAATCTTTTCTCTAAAATCGATATCAGTTCACAGTACGCGCTGGTGGTTTGCATTCTTTTTTTCTTGAAGAGGCCCCATCTCTCAGAAATGGTGATTTTCGGTCAAAAAGATCGATTTTGAAATATGCACATGGGAAGATAGCCTGACGTGTCTACTTTCAGAATCTGTATTGCTTTCGGTCATATAAGTGATTTTTCACGGCTTTCGAGCAAGTTTTCTAGAAATCCCCAAAACCTGGTCTTCAAATAATAGCTTTTTCCTGAATACTTATGCAATTAAATCTTTTCTGAGCGCACGGATTTCTAGAGCAAACTTTTCAATATAACTAAAAAATATGACTTTGCACAACTTTGTGTAACCCTGCATCAAAAAGCTACAAGTATTTTCCTACAAGTCCTAAAACTGAGCACTTTATACAGCGTTTTCTATACATGGAAGTTATACCTAAAGTGTTTTCCAAGATTTTTAATAGCGATTTGTCCTAGAGAGTTTATTCTTTTTCTGTTTAAAAGAAGAAAAGAAACTACATGGACTGACCAAATGGCGCCGATTTTTGAATTAAGTCTTAGTTTTTTGTCAAATTAAAGATTTTTAGAAAACCAGGAAGGATTTTTCAGGTTTTGGACGTTGTTGAATGCCTGGAAAACCAATAAATGTTTAACTGAAAATCGGCACCTGTCAGTCCACGTAGTTAGATGTCTAGTTTAAAATAAAACAAACGCGAACTCTACAGTTTGATGTATATTAAAAAAACTTCAGGGTCCGCCTTGTTTAAACATTAGAAAATTTGATTCTCGCCCGCACTGAACCAAATTAGCTAAAAATTCAGCACCAAATGTAAAATTTGTCGCTGAATCCGACAGCAGGTTCCCTTTTATTTCATTTTGGCTTCTTCTCTGGCGTTGACATAATCTACATAGTTTTTGCCTAAATTTTATATGTCGCATTTGTTGAAAAAAAAAGGCGCCAATGGGAAACAAAATTTAGACAAGAACTAAATGTACTTTGAATAGGAGATGGGCTTCAGGTATGTTAGGGGTTACCGTTGGACTACTAGAGGCGACACAATTTGACCGCAATCGGAGATCATCCTGTAGAACTCGACTTGCAGGACAAAATAGAAGACCAGGTGGTGTTCTATTATGGGGGAGGAGGGGGCTAGATTATGTCGACGTCAGAGAAGAACTCAAAATGAAATAAAAAAGAACCCGCTGTTCGATTCATCGACAAATTTGGTACTGGTACCCGATTTTTATCTAATTTGGTTCAGCGCGGAGTGAGCATCAAATTTTCTAATGATAAAATGGATAATGTATTATTTTTTGACTGAACCACTTGACCGGTACAGAACCGTGTATTTTGCTTTTTAATTTGTCATGAAGGTAGGATAGTCAAATTTTTACATTAAGACAAGGCATTTAGATGAAAACTATTAATTTTAAGCTCTTTTTGAATTTTTTCATGTAATTAGCATCAGCCTTGACGCTGTATAGGTTTCTGGATGTTTTTATCCCGTAAGGAACCCTATCCAAGTGATACCTTCCAATGTCGTTCGTTCATACGTCAATCGGTAGAGGGTATCGAGCTAGTAAAAAGCCTAAAAGGATTTTTCCCCACCACTCTTGAAGTCTCCCGGTTTTTCTAAAAAAATAACGAAAACTTTTCTTAATCAGGAATGATTGTAGCGCGCAAGCTTTTGGTTACAATGAGCCATCGCCCAGCACTACATGATCTGTTTTTGAAAAGTTATAGAATTTACAAGAAAAGCCCTACATTTTTTTCTTCTTATTCCCGTAGACTTGAGTTGACAATGAACATTTGTAGCTGTATACTGGTTCCGCCCAAACCAGAAAAAACTACACACAAATCTACGTCTTGTTGACATAAAGAACAAATTTAATATCTGTTATTTGCCCCTCAGTGGATGCAGTATGCATATGTTTCGTCTTCTGACCATCTGTCACATCCCGCAATTTCTCGTGGCATGCGACGGTTAACCAATCAGTTACTATAGTGCTCTAGAAGCAGAATAATTGAATTGCTTCTCCGAACCTATCGATTACAGGTTGTGGTTAATTTTCCACCTCCGCCTCCGTCACATAGTAATTTTCCGCCGATAGAAATTTTGTCGAAATTTTAGTAAATTTCCGCCTCCGCTCAAAATATGAGATTTATTTCTGTTCTAAATCATTTTTGACTTTAGAAAATAGTATTTTTATGATCCCACAAAATTAGAAAAACATACTAATACGAGAAAAAGTTGATTCAAGCTTGAATAATCATAACTGTAAAATGTATATATATATACGTGCGTATAAGCAAAAACCACCGCGAGATTTTCGAAAAATGAACAGATACTTTAAGAAATTCTATAATGTGCTTCGATATCGGTCTGTGGTCGAAATCCTAAAGAAATATTGAAAAATCGATGAAAACAAGAGATAGTTATAAGTATCGGGTGGCCCAGATAAAATCGGACACTTTTATTTCGATCATATCGCCCGTTCTTTTGAAGCTATAAGGCTAGTTTTTTTTCAGTAGACTCTTCAAGAAATGCTCTACAAAACTCTGTACAGAGACTGTTGTGTACTTACTTATTTATGTTTCAGATGACAAAAAGTAAAGATCTTCGTAAATTGGTACTTTTCCTTCATGATGATGGGTTAGGTATTCGTCAAATTTTTCGTCGTTTAAATGGTTGTTTAGCAAAAGATACCATAAGTCGTTGGATAAAAATGATGAATACAACTGGTGATTAATCTACAGGAAACCAAACGTCGTGAACGTACTATTCGAACAAAGGCAACGATTATGTAAGTTAAACAGCGTCTGAACAGACAAAAAAAGCTATCCGAACGCAAATTAGCGAATGAATTGAAAATATCAAGAACGAGTGTTCAGAGAATATTGAAAGAAGATTTAGGATGTTATCCATATAAGTTAACTATCGAGCCAGCAATTACCAATGACCACAAACAATAACGAAAAACTTTTGCGAAATGGGTGCAAAAAATTTTACAAAACATCAACTCGAAAAATTCTTTTTTCTGATGAAAAAATGTTTGACATCAATGGTATGTGTAATGCCCAAAATGATCGTATTTGGGCAGTGATTCGTTCCGAAGCAGATAGAAAGAGTGGTATTAAAAAGAAACAAAAATTTCCCGCCAAAGTTATAGTGTGGTTAGGTGCTTGTGCCGAAGGTTTAACACCACTCGTTATTCTCGACAAAGGCTCGATCAACCATGATGTATACATTAAAAAAGTGCTTCCGATAGCCAAAAAATATGCAAATAAGGTGCTAGGCGATGATTAGACTTTTCAGCAAGACAATACACCGCCTCATCGCGATGACATTACACAAAAATGGTGTCGTGAAAATATGCCGCAATTTATTTCGTGTAAACGTTGGCCAGCAAATAGTCCGATTACTGTATTTGCGATGAGTTGAATCAGGCTATAAATTGGAATCGAGTACAATCAAAATCGACGCTAATTAAGGAGCTGGAGCTTGGCGTAAAAAAAAATCGTTTTGATGTTGTAAGGGAAAGTGTTGAAGATTGGAGTAAACGAATGTATCAGATTTTGCAAAACGATGGAAACTTTTTGCGTTGAATAAAATTGAAAGTTTTGTAGAAGATTTCTTGGAGAATCTACTGAAAAAAAACTAGGCTTATAGCTTCAAAAGAACGGGCGATATGATCGAAATAAAAGTGTCTGATTTTATCTGGGCCATCCGATATGAGTGTACAGAAGAAGAGAAATTATATAACTATCATTCTTTTTGGCGAATACGTGTGCGCATAGCGGCATCTTCTTTTTATCCAAAATTAAGTGGTATTTTTATATTTTGTTAGTAGACAGATACACATCCTAATCTTCTAACTTCTTTAGATACAATAACTTTTTATACTTTTTATACTTCTTACACTTTTTATACTGTCTGCTCAAAGAGCATATGATAATAAGTTTGTGAAATGTCGTTAACAACACTTGATCTTATTAAAAAAAATCTTCAAAAAGAAATTAGTTATGATGATGCCTACACATTATTTCGAGAAGTAGATCCGGTAAATGCTATCAATACTTTGCCGGTGTGTCCTGACAGTGGTACGTTGCGGTTATTTTCCGATAATGGTGATTCTAAGCAAGCGACAGATTACGTTTATGACGGGTATCGAATGCATCTGGATAAACGACGAACCTAATAGGTTCGTCGTGGTGGATAGGTTCAACCTATCCACCACATGAATCATATATTGAACATGAACGATATTTTGCTTATACAAAAGACAAAAAACGAGACAATAGATTTTAGAAATTATTTTTCAGTTACATAAAGATTGCACAGTCGTTGAAGAAGCATTAGTTAATGATCACACACATCGAATTCCGCTGTTATCATTAGTATTCTATCTTGGAGACACAAAACTACCACTTCGTGCATCTCATGGAAATAACAAAAAACACTTTACCAATTACTCTCGATCAAAACCAAGCACAATTATATCTGCAAAAACGTTATTAGCGTGAGTATTAGAGGATCGATTTTAAAAACGGAAAATCTATTGCCAATCTAACAGTTCAAATATTAATCAGTGTTTTCATAATAATTTCTCTTCTCTCTCGTGTAGTACAGGTGGTTACGATCCAAATGTTGTCTATCACCGCTTAATAGATAAAGCCAAAAGCATTCACAACATGCCGCGAGATTTGTTGCAAATACACATTGCGAGAAAAGCTGCTATAAAAGTATTATTATCACGTAAAGATTAATTATTGAATGTACACTATGCTGCAATGGCAATGCCATCATTTGTTTGGAAATTAGAAACTGTTCTAAAAAATAAACAAACTATGGGGCTTTAAAAGCACTGATCAACCGGCAAAACAACTATTATACGACACAACCTTCAGTATCGGTGATTATTTTGTTAGCTCTCTGCTGACAAAAATAAATTGTTTTGATGAAGCACCTACGGCTCCCTTTTCTATTCTAATTCATCGAAATCAAAGAACAGAATCTCATATAGCACACTTTTTAACAATGAAATTAAATAAAAAACCATTGTTAAAAAGACTTGTAGACGACAATATTTCTATAATGCATGATCGTGAAGATGCAATTACGAATAGTATATCATTCGTTTTTCCTCAGTGGACTCAATTTTCGGATTATGTGCGTTTGAAAAGAAACTTGAAGACTCATTGTCGAAAAGAACAAGTTGGCAAAGATTTACGTAGACGAATATTTGAATATACAGATACCCTACAAATGTCAGAAATATTAAAGCAATTTAATGATACGTATGAGGAATTATCGAAAATATGTCCAGAGGATCTATTAAAATATATTGATAATAATTTAAAAGAAGTATTGATAAATATCACTGTCTGTACTTTGCGATCACATGGTTATTTGTGTTCAGATGTAATTTCTTATAGTAATCGATGTGAAGGTTTTAATTTTATGTTAAAGCAGTTGAATGAATAGAAAAAAAGACCTGTCGATGCGGTTGTTTTATCATTTCATCGGCTTTTGGCTCATTTTCTAATTGATATTCGCCGAAGTCGTACCGGTCTTCGAAAATACCATTTGAAATCAATAGCCAACCGCTATGCATTAGATACAGATGATATCGAGGATGAGCCCAAAATATCCATGAATGATATTGTTAAAGAATTATAGGCTGATTTATATTTAATCAATGATGATGATGCTAATAACAGTAGTATTTTACCAAATAATGATACAAATGTAACAATTGATACTGAAAATGCTAATAATCTGGTGGATGAAAACGATGTAACATCAATTCATTGACTAAAACTGGAATGACTGTGACAGATGCTATAATTGATGCATGCTTAACTTTACTTAAACAAAAAATAAACTCGTCGTCAAAAACAACAAATAACAATAACAACAATCAATTAGTCCAATTAATTGGGGAGACACGAGTGGCACTCCAACTTGAATCATCACCATTTATGGATGGTGTACCGATTGACTTGATTACCGGAGTATTAGCTGAACCAGGCCATTTTGTTGCTTTCACTTCTACAGATAAAGTCTTATATCGCAATAGCGATATTATCTCAACTTCAGTTAGGTCAAGGATATTCGGCAAGTATAACGTTTGACGAAAATAATTACGATCGCATTCACTTTTGTGTTTAGAACAAAATGAAATAAAAACCTATCCTAAAATAAGTAAAAATTGTGTTAGAAAACCAAAGACACGATTAATCAAAATACCAAAGTAAACAGATTGTTTCTTTATGTTGGTTGATAAACTATTACATCATTCTTCTGTTATGAATTTCTTAAGGTGTCTGTTCATTTTTCGAAAATCTCGCGGTTGTTCGTGCTTATACGCACGTATATATATATACATTTTCTTATATAGTTATGATTATTCAAGCTTGAATCAACTTTTTCTCGTATTAGTATGTTTTTCTAATTTTGTGGGATCATAAAAATACTATTTTCTAAAGTCAAAAATGATTTAGAACAGAAATAAATCTCATATTTTGAGCGGAGGCGGAAATTTACTAAAATTTCGACGAAATTTCTATTGGCGGAAAATTACTATGTGACGGAGGCGGAAAGTTACCCACGACCTCGATTACAAGCATAACCAATATCTGTTGCCCGTCGGTTTTTAGCGATTAACCGAAATAACCGGCGTATGCCTAGTTACATAAGTAGTAGGTATACTGGTATGGTTTTTCTTACTCTTCACTTTCTCTTGCAACCATCCTCAAACCCAAATCTGTGAAAATTTCTTGAATTTGACAATGTTCGGTTTGTTCGATGTCGATTTTTTAAAATAAACAAATTAATCTTTACCATAACCATATTGTGTTTTATCTGTCATAAAGTTTATTTCTTCAAGTCGTTTTCTGTTTTCTTCTTTGGATATAGTATCATGTTGTGAAACTGAGTGTTTGGTTCTTGATATTCGTTTTTCATCTTTTGACAATAAATTAGATAATAATAATGAATTTATACCAACTCTAGTTTCTTAAAAAAGCTCAACAGATAATTCTCGATTCATTCTTAAAATATAATCAGGCAAGAACAGCAGCATCTCGTACCGATCGACTGGGATCATTATTCTAACAGCTCTGCTTTCATTCATACCTGTAAGGATTGAAACTGAAGAATTTCCTGTAAAGACTCTAGGAGAGAAGCCGGCGTCGGACAGAAAAACTTGGAGCCGGAGCTCGGAGGGGTCGGAGCTGCCCAGCTCTGATAACGAATATATAAATATTCGTAGAAAACTGAATTCGAAGTGACATCATTGAACTTTTATTTTAGATAGGTGTTATACGTCAAAATTCGTCAATGTCTCTATCTCCAAACCAGTGCCATATTAATTTATGCGATAATAAATCGTTATCTCGTTGTTATCATTGTAGCATCCATTTCTGCGCTGAACACTATGATCAGCACAACAAGAAGATAACAGAAGAGGTGTTAGCTATTAAAGAGCATATACACGAGTTAACTTCAAAAATAATTCAATTGACCAATGAACGCGAAACAAGTGAGAAGTTTAAAACTAATTATCGTCGTCAACTAGCAAGGATTCGAGATGCCCTCGACGATATCACACTTCATGCGTACGTCACTGCACAACGATTGGAACAATTGACTCGTATACTGGAAGTTGTTGAAAAACGTCTAGAAGATTATGCTAAATCGGCCATTAATTCATTTAGTCTTCAAACGTTAGAGGAACCAACGAAACTCTACCCGATAGGTGCTGCATACAACTATTGTTGTTTGGCTACCGATGGTTTAAATTTGTTAGTTGATTTGACTCCAAGTACGCTGTGCCTTTTCGACGAAAAACTCCGTTCACTTGAAGTACTATGGACGAACGGTCAGGTGACGGACATGTGTTATTCTCAACTACTCGGTTTCTTTATCCTTCTAACATCCGAAAAAGTGTTTACACTTGACTCCTTAACCATCACAGTACGAGAGATCGTCTCAATTCGACCGTATAAACGTTATCGTTATTTTAACTGTTGCACATGTTCTCATGACACGCTGTTTCTTGCATATGGTTCCAGTGTTGAACTGTATAACTTGAACACGTTCGCGTTAAGTAAAAGATGGAAAACGCATCATATTGGACTTCATAAAGAGACGATTGGTGATTTGTGTTATCAGAATGATGACAGATTAGGTATATTAATTTGTGGGCACAGAGGAAATCGATTTGAAGTAAGAAATAGTCAAACATTGATGATACACTGGAAAATAGCCATTGATTCAGCTGACTGTAAGTTGTGTTCGTTACCCAATTGTGAATGGTTAGTGACTAGTTGCTGGAGATTTTGGAATAGTTTTGAACAAGTGACAAACGATGGGAAATTGAAATCGAAACTAACTAGACAAGACGAATACAAATATGGACGCGCGAAGACAGCTGTTGTCTATGGTGAACGTTTATTGGCTATTCGAACATTAGAATCACTCAACTTACATCTACTACACTGACGCTTTGAAATAATTTTGAAGAAGATATTTTACTTTGCGTAAACAACGATTACTCTAGAATCGACATAACTGACTCTGTCTTCGATCTCTTCTCACGCTTGTCTACCATTGACCATTCCTTTGAGGTCAATCGCGTATTGACTATCGTATTTTTGTTGGAAGAAGCGAGTGAAACTGTAAGACACGATGTTGTGTAAAGTTGTGTTTCAAAAAAACTTTCGAGCTTTTTGGTGAAACTCATAGTTTTTGACAGTCGTTCAACGGATAAACGCTATGATTGTTTTGTTAAAGAAAAAAAGAGATTTGATAGAATAAATGAAATTTCTCTAAAAAGCAAGCCGCTCTTTAGACCGCAACAACGCTCTATTTTTTCCATGATTTATACCTCAATCAATAAAGGATATCGAGCTAGTAAAAATCCTAAAACCGTTCATCCACGTGGTTGTTTGTTCAAAAGTTATAGCATTTTTTCGTTTTCAAGGCCCGGAGCTCGCAAACAGTAAAAATTCAATAACTGGGCCAAAACTTTGTTGAACTCTCTATAACTCAGCTGAAACTTTCTATGATTATAATAGACGTCTAGCACTATTAGAAAAAAAATGTCGATCTTTCGTGCCGTGTTTTGGCTGAGTTATTGAATTTTTTCTGTTTTCGAGCTCCGAGGGCTTGAAAACGAAAAAGTAACTTTTGAACAAAAATCCATGGGGATGAATCGTTTTAGGATTTTTACTAGCTCGATATGCTGTATTGACTGAGGTATAAATTATGGAAAATGGGAGGTGTCCTTTTCATAGGTTTCCTCTTTAGAATCACAGACTAAATAGATAGTTTCTATTCTTCATTGTCCGCCAAACTTGTCTCGAGGAGCAAAGCAGTCTGGGGTCTGTGCAGATGAAAGTACCTCAGGCGTCGGAAGATATTAAATGGAAGATATTTGGTAAATAGTATTTTGGGCGGTATCGATGGAAAAGAAGCCGTATCTAGAAGGCGTCGATAAAAGTGACAATTAATGTGCAAATAGTCTTAAAACCATTACATTAAATAGCTGTTTTTAGACCGTTTTTTGCCGCTTAAATAAATGCCATTTTAAAGCATTAAAACATTTCCAGCAATAATAGCAAAAAATCGCTAAATAATAGGATCGAATACCAAAAAATACTGCTTACTTGTCTACTAATGATGTATTAAAAGGCATTTGATTACCCATTAATTACACCATTTCACCATCCTGGGTGTTTAGTGACATACAGTTATCGTATCTATTCCACTTTGAATCACGACTTTTGTTACTAAAGAATCTTGTTTCATTCAATAGAGTAAACAAAAAACAGGTCATCCGCAAAACGACTATGGATGATATCTAGAGATGACTGTTGTGGCAGATCATTAATAAAGATTAGAGACAGAACAAATACTAAGGCCGACCCTTGAGGAACGCCGGAGGTGATAGGAGGTTCTAATGAAAATTTTCCGCGAATTTTGACTTTGAATCTGATTTTCTAAGTAAGAGCAGAATCAGTTTAGCAAAAGCCCGTAAAAAAGTACCCTTTGGTGAGGTTTAGGGCACATGAAAGTGCTTTAAGTGCGCCACAATCAATGTGACGACAAAAAGCAGGACACTTCCATGTACCCTAAACCTCACCAAAGGGCATCTTTTTTTTGCAATGTGTATTGGGTCTAAAGTCGACTGGTTTCTTGAAAAAAGATTATTAAGTAAAAAAGTATAATATTTCGAAAATCTTACTCAGAGCAACTAACATCGATATAGGTCTGTAGTTCTAATCGGCTCATCTCATTTTATTTGTTGAATGTGGCCAGAAATCATCATATTCCATGATTTCGACCATTTTAAGCGGTTGCAGTGGAAAAAAAGAACGCTTTTGTTGGTACTGATAGTTTCGTTTACAATCGACGCATCTGAACGTATCAAGAACGATTGGCTGTTGCAGTCATGTGACTACTCTGTTTTGGAAGAACAAACACAACCTTTTTAAACATGCCATTTACATATTTTTTTTTATCCAGAAGTTATCAAAGCAGAAAACTATGTACAAGTTCTCTTAGGTTTATGCGGCGAAGTATTTAATTCATGAAGGCAGCTGCCAGGCTATGTTTCGTTTTCTATTAACACAGTCCGCTGTATTAGCTCGATTTATTTTCTAATTTATAAAAAATCGACTTGGAGAATCAGAAATGATTTTAGAGCTTTTGTGAAATCATAAACGATTTTATAAGAATATTGAAAATGCTTATTTTCTACTTTGTTAACAATCGAGTCGATTTCCAAGAATTTTGCTTTTCAAAATAGTTCGAAAAAAAAAAGTCTTGGTACTTCAAGTAACAGGAAAACGTTTTCTGATTTTCTTTAAAATTGAAGAATCGACTAATTTTACAGAAAGTCAAACTGATTTTTTAGAAATAGTATTTGATTTTCTCTAAAATAAAATTAATTTACAGAAAATCGTCGTTATTTTCTGTGAATTTGAAAGGAATTCGGTGGCATTTTTTAGTCAAACCAGAAGATGTAAGGAGGGTAAGTAGTACTTAGCCTTCTTACACCTTCTCTGTCCATTACACTGTTAGAAATCTGTGTTCTTCCGTTCTTTGGAGAACATGGTGAAGAACACGAATGTGTTCTTTGAAAACTGAAGAACAGAATATATGTTCTTCAGCCTGATTTCACGTTTTTGTTCTTCAAAAAATTAGTTCTTCATTTTTATAAAGAACAAAAAACGAATTCGTGTTCTTCGGAGAATGTAATTTTTGTTTTCCAGCTTTCTGAAGAACATAAATCATATTTTTGTTCTTCAGAGAACAAGAATCCACAGTCCATTAAATAGTTATTCATGAAAATGTGTATATCGGCGCAAATTGAGGAGAAGCGATGATTGCGATCAAATGGTAATAACGACCACCTTTTATACTGTCAAACTGGAAGAAAATATATCAGTAACTGATAGTAGTATGTACATCATCATCGATAGATTGTAATGAAACATACAAACCTTTACTTTATCATCTTAGATCCGATTGCATTTCGAGCGCTTAGCATTATATTAGCATATTTTAAAGAAAGTAAACAATATATTATCGTGGACACGAAAGTAAGC